CTCTGCTGTGTTACAGTAGCCTTTATGTAGACTCTCAATGTAGGAATAATTCTGCTGTGTTACAGTAGCCTTTATGTAGACTCTCAATGTAGGATAACTCTGATGTGCTACAGTAGTCTTTATGTAGACTCTCCATGTAGGAATAGCTCTGCTGTGTTACAGTAGCCTTTATGTAGACTCTCAATGTAGGATAACTCTGATGTGCTACTGTAGCCTTTATGTAGACTCTCAATGTACGATAACTCTGATGTGCTACAGCAGTCTTTATGTAGACTCTCCATGTAGGAATAGCTCTGCTGTGTTACAGTAGCCTTTATGTATACCTCAATGTAGGAATAATTCTGCTGTGTTACAGTAGTCTTTATGTAGACTCTCAATGTAGGAATAACTCTGATGTGCTACAGTTACCTTGTTTTACAACATGACGCTAAATGAAGAAATTTTAGGTTATTATCACCATCATACATACTTTGTCTCCTCAAAGAAAGCAGAAGGTCTGTAGCCAACATCCCTAAAATGGTCCTCTACAGCACTCTTGTATAGACTTCCCTGATTGGCTGGCAAACCCTTTACCTACAACCAACAGACAAGTAAGTGTTGATGTGTCACAAACCCTTTACCTACAACCAACAGACAAGTTAAGTGTTGATGTGACCTGACATGATAACATACCATAACATCGTTGAAGGGGCTGTGACCTGACATGATAACATACCGTAACATCGGGGAAGGGGCTGTGACCTGACATGATAACATACTAAAACATTGATGAAGGGGTCATGACCTCACATGATAACATACTAAAACATTGATGAAGGGGTCATGACCTCACATGATAACATACCATAACAGTGTTGAAGGGATCATGACCTGACATGATAACATACTAGAACATTGATGAAGGGGTCATGACCTCACATGATAACATACTAGAACATCGTTGAAGGGGCTGTGACCTGACATGATAACATACTGTAACATCAGTGAAGGGGCTGTGACCCGACATGATAACATACTGTAACATTGGTGAAGGGGCTGTGACCAGACATACTAACACACCCTAACATCGTTGAAGGGGCTGTGACCTGACATGATAACATACTGTAACATCGGTCACGGTGAATTGGCTGTGACCTGACATGATAACATACTAAAACATTGATGAAGGGGTCATGACCTCACATGATAACATACTAAAACATTGATGAAGGGGTCATGACCTGACATGATAACATACTAAAACATTGATGAAGGGGTCATGACCTCACATGATAACATACTAAAACATTGATGAAGGGGTCATGACCTCACATGATAACATACTAAAACATTGATGAAGGGGTCATGACCTGACATGATAACATACTGTTGTTGAAGATTGTAGGACCTGACATGATAACATACTAGAACGCTGATGAAGGGGTCATCACCTCACATGATAACATACCATAACAGTGTTGAAAGGATCATGACCTGACATGATCCTGTTAGACTCCTGTTCATCTATTGGCTCCTTAATGAAGAAGTTGGGGTAGAAAGCACCTGCCATTACAACCTGAAAAAGTAACCAGCATACTCAAGTTACATGCTTTCACAACCTGCACTCTTTTTCTTCCACTTTGTATACTGTATTTTAAAAGTGGCTAATTGAGTTAAGCGATTTTTTGGAAGTGTGAAACAACCTGTTGGTGCGAATTAGGATTTGAAATTGTTGAAGCAATGATGACAATTTTGAATTTCTAGGTATAAATTATAACCATCAAGGAGTACCTTTAAGAGAAGCCTCTCTTGGTCCTCGGAGAACCTGCGTTTGTAGTTTGGTGTCTGTCTTGGTTTCTGGATGTTCAAGCTGCTCAGTCTAGATTCCAGTTCCTTCACCAGCTCCTGGACCTATATACATATGTACAATTAATGATTTCAGGTTCACACAATTCATTATAAACCTTGGGATGAAATTATCCACAGAATACCGGTAAGGGTATTCATTTTCCAAAATGATTAATCATCAGCACTCAGATATCATGTTCACAAATTAACCCTGAGGAATGGTCTAAAGCGATATGTCGGAGTTCTTATACCAATTACTGGACACCTACATTGCATAGGTGTTTGATTTCTTCATCAGAAACTTACCTTGTACAGGTGTTTGATCTTATTTTCATACCTACCATGAGCAGGTGTTTGACCTCCTCAGTATCAGCTACCTACCTCGTACAAACGCTTGATCTGAAGGAAATGCATCCTTCCCCATGAGACCTCCTTCTGACTGCGTCGTTTGAAATCACCCAACATCTTTCTCTTCTCCCATTCCTGTGAATAAAGAAATGTCAATGTTATCACAATTTGATGACACTAACTTCATTGGTAGGTAGGTGGCACATTGGACACTTCCCTTTCACCAGGACAGCCAGTGGTAGATTTCCTCATTGGACATAACAAAGTATTGGGTCACTTGACCACCATATGAGTTTTCTCTGGGTATACTCACCCTGTAGGCATTTAGAATGGCAATACAGTCACTGCTGGAGCCCGCAGCCCATTCGAGTTTGTGTCTGTAGGCCTCCAGGTGTTTCTTGTATGGACTGGCAAACACAGACTTCAATGACAGAGCCGCAGCTGTAAATGGACATTAAATTAATATTCAAATTCTTTATAAACTTAACTCATTCACCCGTGAAATTTTATGATGGACTATTCCAACCTTTGAATTGGAAGAGTTCAAATGTGTCTTCAGGGGTGAATGAGTTAAAGCTGTAATTGTGTCAATCCATTTCACTGAAATGTCTTATTTATGTTTCTTTCCCAAGGGACCTCAGAAATGTCGGTAGTCTCAAGTTGACAGCTGTCCTGTAATGCTGGCAGGTTTACTTATATTGTATCATGCTATCTTTGACATACTTTATAGGAAATACAACATATATATATGTGTGTTCACCTGACATCTCAGTGTATCTCATCTGCTCTACAACACTAATGAGTTTACCTATAATGAGGCAGTCCTCCAGGAGTCCAAACACATGACCAAGGATAAGCAGCTTGCCAAGCCGGACGTCTACAGGAACATCTGCCAACACACGTCCTACAAAGGTCAAGTCACCATCATGGCGACAGCCCGCTTCATGGGTCGGTGTACTCAGTGCTCCAACCTGTGAACAGTGAAGTCATTTTTATCAATAAAATGGATCTTTGATATTACACTTACAATACACTCTACCATTCATAGATATTACACTCACAATACATTCCACCATTCATATAGATATTACACTCACAATACACTTTACCATTCATAGATATTACACTTACAATACACTCTACCATTCATACAGAAATTACAATTAAAATAAACTTTACCATTCATATAGATATTACACTCACAATACACTCTGACATTCATACAAACATCACAATACACTCTACCATTCATATATATATATTACACTTAAAATACACTTACCATTCATATAGATATTACACTCACAATACACTCTGCCATTCATACAAACATCACAATAAACACTACCATTCATATAGATATTACACTTAAAATGCACTTTACCAATCATATAGATATTACACTCACAATACCTCTATCATTTATACAGATAAAGACTTCTAGAGATGACTTTAACTACAGGGTATTTGTACCATTAATGCAGTGAACATAGACAGAAATCTATTTACTGGTAACTTTATTACAATGCACACAGAAAGGAATCTAACAGGGCTGACACTCGGCACAGCAACTTCTATATTTGTAACAAGTTCTATAAGATTTGTTGTCATACAAGTAGTGATGTTGTACAGACCTCTTTCAGTAGAAGTATGGTTTTCTCTATGTCGTCCAGGTTGGGTGGGGACAGGGCCAGTGCCAGGATGGCCTTGGGTTCTCCAAGGTCAAGCACTTTCACGTGGAGTATGACACGCTCCAGGGGGCAGCGCTATAATAATACAGAGACACTGAACAATTCAACAAAAGGCCGAAATCAAAACCACCTTCCATATTAAGCCCTTTACAATCAGTAATATTAATTCCTGCAGAGTAAACACACTTATTACCCCTTTGAGAAAAATCTAGGAATCTGATTGGTTAAAAACTACAGTGTACCAAACCGCATTCGTAAATCTCTGGGGGTATATGAAAATCTCAGGGGGTATATGGTCATGTCACGTGATTCTCAGCAGTAATACGGTGGAATCACATGATTTTACAAGGGGTATACGGGTCACATGTCTTTGTATCTTGTGGCCAGGCAACGGAAGATAACTCGCATTCGTCGTCTGCTTTGCTTTACAAAATGGCAAAACGTTTCGCTTTGTTTTTATTATAAAAGACTCAAAGGGGTAATAAATTTGTTACACAGATATTTGGCAGGGTATACAGGATGGTATGACCCTACAGGATTTCGTATTTCCTTCGGCCTATCGGCCTCAGGAAATACGAAACCTTTTAGTGTCATACCATCCTGTATACCCTGCAAAAAATCTGTGTAATGAATGATATTCACAGAATCAAAACAAGATAGCATAAGTCAGTGTTAAGAATTGAATCTCACCTGAATGCCTTCTTTTGCATACTTGTAAAAAGGTTTGTCAAAAATGGCAGATTTGACCAGTCAGATATATATATACATATGTACGTACCTGCATTTCTGGAATACCAAAATCTTGTATGAAATGTTCCCAGAAGTAACGCGTAATCATCCTGTACACCCTGCCATTGGACACTCGACCCGATCGACCTGTAAGTAAAACACATAGCTAATTCATACCCGTTTGATCAGTAACAACACATATCTAAAGATCCTTCCCTGTGTGACATACCAGTAACCATAGGAACTAGAGTTTTACCAGCTTCACCTACCAGTAACCACAGGAACTAAAATTTTACCAGCTTCACCTACCAGTAACCACAGGAACTAAAGTTTTACCAGCTTCACCTACCAGTAACCACACACATACCTTCTTTACTACTGCTTACCATAATTCTCAAATATCCTCCCTCTAATTAAGTAAAGTAAAGAGGTGAAACAACTGAGGAGATGGAAATGATAAAAGGAAGACAAACTTTTAAATGAAGACCCTGAGAATTAAATGCAATTTTCAGATTGTATTTTGTGCTAGTACAACTAAGCCCTGTTATTGGTGTGGATGATATAGCAGTGTGGCTACCTTTCCTTTGGTTACAGTTAGCGCGGGAAGCCCACTCCGTCTGCAGACTGGTGTAGTTTGTTTCTGCGTCTGCCACCAGATTCTTTGTAAGGCAGAAATCAATCACTACAACACACAAAGGACAATCACAATTTAATTTAAACGTTCAAACTTTCCTAGTATTAAATCACAACATTTTCAGCTACTTTATCAATTCCACAATCACACTTACCATATTTGATGTCTGGTACAGTGATGGAACTTTCTGCGATATTTGTAGAGAGAATGATCTGAAAATATCAAATACAATATACTAGAATCTTCAGGAAAACAAGTACAGTTTATTACGGTATGTCAAAACTTATACAGGGTTGCACTCACCTAACCAGAATCCAATCATATTTGATCACATTACTGTGGGGAAACTGACGACCTATCTGAGTGCAGTATGCAAATCAATTACACAGGGATTTTCCTCAATTTTAAATTCAGACTTAGACACTGTAAATGGTTACAAAATTTATCAAAATCCGTACTGATATTTAATCAAGTGATTGCATGAGAACAAACATCATACAGTCAGACAGAGAGAAGAAAAGACAAGCCAATTCCTATAGTGAACCTGCATGCAGTATTCTCTAACTGCACAGCCCTGATCAATAAAAGAAAATGTATATAAGGAAAGACATAGCATAAGCCATTTTCCTGCAATAGAATATCCATCTTGCAGTCTGGGGTCTCACACGGTGAGTTGTGGGGAGTAATGAGGATAATTTTACATGCTGGGGCCTCACACGGTGAGTTGTTGGGGAGTAATGAGGATAATTTTACAGGCTGGGGCCTCACATGGTGAGTTGTTGGGGAGTAATGAGGATAATTTTACAGGCTGGGGCCTCACACGGTGAGTTGTTGGGGAGTAATGAGGATAATTTTACAGGCTGGGGCCTCACACGGTGAGTTGTGGGGAGTAATGAGGATAATTTTACAGGCTGGGGCCTCACACGGTGAGTTGTTGGGGAGTAATGAGGATAATTTTACAGGCTGGGGCCTCACACGGTGAGTTGTTGGGGAGTAATGAGGATAATTTTACAGAGTGGGGCCTCACACGGTGAGTTGTTGGGGAGTAATGAGGATAATTTTACAGGCTGGGGCCTCACACGGTGAGTTGTGGGGAGTAATGAGGATAATTTTACAGGCTGGGGCCTCACACGGTGAGTTGTTGGGGAGTAATGAGGATAATTTTACAGGCTGGGGCCTCACACGGTGAGTTGTGGGGGAGTAATGAGGATAATTTTACAGACTGGGGTCTCACACGGTGAGTTGTTGGGGAGTAATGAGGATAATTTTACAAATGTGGTCACTGAACATAAAACATTCCACATTTTTCAGAAATTCAGGCTGAAAATCAAACTCTATAGGTCAGAGGTCATGATAATAGTGGTAACAGACAAACCTTCCTCTCTCCAGTTCCAGGCATCTCAAACACTTTAGACTGTTCCTCCAATGTGATGGATGAATGCAAGGGAAGGATTCGCAAACTGAAACATAAAATGGGATTATTTTTTAAATTATACTGCTATTTTTCATAATGAGCCTGTGTTTCACAGTTGTATAAGTTTTACTGTCTTATAAAACAGACTTACATTAATGTCCTATCTTTTGACAGACACTAGTGTTCTCTATGCAGATTGGATCTAGGTATTCTCTGCTACACAAGTCTTAGTAAGTAAGGCTTGAAATGAAAACTATCATTTGTATTCATCTGTAAAAAGTGTTAAACTTTATGATGATATCAGATATTCTGAAGCACACATGCTAATATTTGTGTAATACATACTCAGAGATGAAAGAAGTATTGCTTTTATTACACACATACTCCAGTATGACAAACAGTAAATCTCAGATACAGTATACCCTAATCAGTTATATGTGGGAAAAACTTTACATACTGGAGATATCATGGCTTGTAAGCTAAACTAAGCTAATTCCTTTACCTGATTATGTTTACCTTTTATTTACAGTGATGAAAAATCCCTGCTATAGTCATTATATATATTTGTCAGATATTTCAGCTTTTATATTTCGACATGAAAAAATTCAAAACAATACATACTTGTGTTTCTGACATCTCTCCTGCAGACTAGTATCCATAAATTCTATCTCAGCTTGACCTACAAAAACAAATTTAATCTGGAGTCTTTCCAAGTATAGTAAAAATCAACACAGCCATAAAAATGTCCATTCAGTTTACATGTATAAACAGCAAGCTTGCTAACACATTATTTCATTAACACAACTTCACCTTTAAAAAGGCAAAAATTAGCATAAGCAAGAATTCATTGATCTCTTTTTACAGATTTACTAACAGGCATATACTAGTGTTTGTGTGTGAAGTGATCATTTTACAGACCAACCATTCAATAATATCTATAAAAAACAGTATACCTGGTAGGAAAACAAGCACCGTTCCTCTGAAGTTAGCAAAACCTGTTGGGGATATTCTGATGAAAAAAAGAGAACAGAAATAAAACATGGAGCCTGTATGCATTTCGAAAAATTATTTCCTGTAATTTCTTGTCCACATTAAAAGTGTTTTTTCTGATGCTGATAACGCAAAAGAGTTTTAAATATTCTTATGTTAGCTTATGACCATCCAACTGTGTCGATATAAAGGCAACAGAAATCAGACTTCGGTGTCTACCACAATAGGCTAATTTCGTTTTATAATATGATACTTCAAATCGTCCAAAGATCAATGGTATATCTGCTGTGTTTTCTTACCCCTGGTCTTTGGCTTCCAAACTATCAAATTCCTGTATAAGTCTGACAGCCATACTGTAAGCCTCTTGTGAGATGGCCGGTGATCCTTCGTCCAGTGGGGGCACCTGTTACAATTAGACATTCATAAAACCATCATGTCGTATCACAGAAACATACCTTGGTAGGTTGAATTATAAATGTTCTATTAAACGACATGAATGTTTTAACAATCATAAAGATGAATGTTTGCCTTTATTCAACCATCAGTAAAATGAACGAGGCGAGAAAAAAATACAAAAATCAACACTATAAATATAAGTCTTGTCAAAGACAAAGATATATCTCAACAATATTTACATCCTCAAGAACCCTAAAATGCAAACATTTATCAAAGAACAAAACCAAAACAATGTTAACATCTCTAACACATAAGTATTAGCTGTGACTTTTACCTCCCCTAGAACAGACTCTAACACATAAGTATAAGCTGTGACTTTTACCTCCCCTAGAACAGACAAGTCCTCTGTGTAATATTCTGATACTGCGAAGATCTTGCCTTCCACACTGATGACAGGTGCAGGTTCCAGTTTTCGTCCGAGGGGCAGGGCAAAGTAGCTGGCAAACATTTCGGACTCAATGGTGGCAGACATCAATACAACTTTAACATGGGGTGAGTTAGTTCTGAGGAGTTTCCGTACAACCAACAGACTGAAGTCAGTGTCCTGGTCTCGTTCATGGACCTATGTAGAGAAAAACACTATTGAATCACTTTTTAAGTTAACATGAGATTGTCACATTGTAACTGCTAAACATAAAACCCTGTATAATGTAGCACTATATCATATGGTGTGTAACTGGAAAATTACTGCGAAGTGCCCTGAAAGAAGTAATTTTATAGTTAAGCAATGGTCTTATGTCTGATTTGAAACATTTGAAAAAACACTTGGAATTTGAAAAATTACTTTTAATATGCAGATATTTTGGTGGATATTTTCTAATTCACATTCTACTGTATAAAGGTTATTACCTCATCTAGGATCACATGCGTGAACTGTAACATGTTTTTGGTGTTGATCAGTTTCTGTAGCAGGACCCCTGTAGTCACATAGGTCAGTCTTGTATCTTCTGAAGTCTGCTTGTCCATACCAACCTATAAAAACATAAATAAATCCTCATCATTGTAAATAATTTCCATATTTCAAAAATACTTTACTATATTCATGATGTATTCTAAATGATTTTTACAAAACACAATACCTACTTTCTTCTGTTGCTTGTTTGTTCAACATGAATTTAAATATTAATGTTTAGTTGTCTTTTAAACTTTACTAGGAATTTATATATTTATTATCACACAGTATACAGTTATAGAATGGGTTATTCAAGAAAAAGCAAATTTATGTTCCCTTTTTATTATAACAAACCAAATTGAGGCCATTTTACAAATGAATTCATTATTCAAATTCTATAAACAATTTCAAAGAGAAAAATATATTAAAATTTGGAGAAAAAAATTGATTATCACGGATCTTTTTTTTAACAAAAAGCAAATGATCAACAACTGACCACTTGAACTGGACAATCTGAACCCATTAGTCAGATAGAGTTCATTTAATTCAATTCTTAAAGCAATTCCAACGATCTAAAAATCTTATGTCATGGAGAATGCCCCACTAACTGCTTGGTTTTATTGATAGAAATTTTGGAAGGGAGTAGTCCTCAGATGGAGAGGTTTAAGCAAATTTAGGGAAAAGGATATTTTTCATATTGTTTTTATATAGGGAACACTTGTTACATACCTGGTATCCGCACACAGTGCCAAGCTGCCAATCCCTCTCACTACAAACACGGCGAGCGATACTGATAGCAGCGATTCTCCTCGGCTGTGTCACAATGATGTTACAATACTTATTCATGGCAGCATAGTGGTCCAGTATGTACTGGGGCACCTGTGTCGTCTTCCCTGACCCCGTTGACCCCTGTACAACCGTTACTTGGTTACACTCTATGGTGGAGACGACCTTCAAACATGAAACAATATAATTCATACAGGAAACTATAAGTAGGATCTATATTGTTCATAATAACTTTCTTGTGTCTTCAGACCTCATAATATATAACAAGAAATATTTGATAACTTCTTTGATATAATTTAACTTCAGTACAAAATTTAGTGGAAGGCAGTACAACTTTAATATGTGTAGCTGTACTCATGTTTATTCATATCTATTCCTACATACCTGTTGATGATGTCTGGTGATGGGCATCTTCACATCATAACTGTGCTGAAACTTGTAGTTCAGGTACACATCTACAGCATTGGAGGGAATAAGGTCATCCGGCATAGCAACAGCACTGGTACAGATGCTGTCGATGTCAATCTCTGACATTCGCTCAGTCGCATCATGGACACCATGTTGCTGTTTTGGGAGTATACATAGTTAAAACTTGATAGCGGAGATGAAATGAAACTGATATCTATATTTGTGAACAAAACCAGATGTCTCCCCCGATAAGCCACTACACATGTATTTGCTTTGTACCTATTTGACCTTTGACCTAGTGGTAAAGGTTAATTGTGGTGGCTAAATACAGCACACTGCTTACTCCTGTGGTAAATCCAGACATTCTTTATGTGTCATGAAAATGTCTTTAATGGATTGACATTTTCCTCCCAGACAAGATTTCACTCAAAATTTTTGCTTTTATTTGACATATGATCTAGAGGTAAAGGTCATAGTGACCTCATTATAATGTCGGGACTGACCAGTATCTTTGGCTGACACAGGTATACTTCAGGTTTTATCAGAATATCCTGAACCATCTAATAGTTGTGACCTGGACAAGATTTTTCTTGAAATTGTTCACTAATTTGACAGATAACCTCAAGGTTTGTGTCACAGGAACTTAATTTGTTTTGCACTGCACACCCTCTGTTTCTTCCTATCAGTTTCATAACAATTAAAAACCAAGGGGAACGTACATATATAATTTGAAAAGATCGGTCTAGCACTTATATAATTATGATATCAAGAGGTGTTAAAGACAAAATATCACAGACAATTGCCACATGTAGACTACAGCAGTTGAATAGCCCCCATCTGGTAATGGTGGTCTAAAACATATCAATAATAAACATACAATAAAGAACAAGTAGGTTTAGAACCTGTGGCTGAGTTGTCTCAAAAAGGTGATTCTCCTCCTCCTGTAAGTAGGAAGTAGCATAGTCTCTCTGGGTTTCATCTCGTGCACCTCTGTAAATATAAACAGAAAATACAGAGAATTTTATTATTCTGTTATAATGTCACTTTGCATTATAAAGTAATCCTGCCAATCCATGAGTTGGTTTCATTTTCAGTCCCAGGCCGCCTTTAATGATTTTGTAAGGTTGCTAAACCTGATGGAACTAATGTTGCCAAAACAAATATAAAACAATGTATATCCTATTAAACGTATGTAGCATCTTGATTCTCCTGAAATGTTTCATTGAAATATGGTTAAACCTGTGCCCCAACTCATTTTTCATTAGTACATTTGACATGTTTAACTTTTCACCATTTTGGAATTTCGTATAACATTTGTTGTACAGATATTAACAACTGTCCCCGACATACCATACAAGTTGGGAATCGGACGAAAACTTTTCTAACCTGTTTAGTAGCGTGTAGCTTATAACCTAAATATAATCACATTTGAAGTTTTCTTAGATCTTCTTTACTATCTTCAGTGATAATAGACAGATCCTGATAACACAATGTTAGCAAAACTTAAAAAAAAACACCAGTAAATCTTTAATCATGCATTAACAACATTTAACATCATATTTATAACTTTAAATATAACTAAATGCTATAGGGAGAAACAACTCTACGGGAACTGGATTTAGAGCATAATAATATGCAGTGTAAACAGGATTTGGGGCAATTCATTCAACTTTTCAAGATTCTAAATCTTTGATGTTTACCAGATTTCTTTGAATGTACTTTAAAATCTGTCACATTTCACTTCGGATTGGCTGATGAGACCATCCCCCGGTTATATCACATCGCTAGAAAAAATAGCTTGCCTGTTAGACAATGTCCATCTTATTCCTATAGGCTGTTTCACTATTCTTCCCTCCAAGAGAGGACTCTAATTATGAATAAATGCATTTACTTTTCATTTTAATGATTAAGGTTATTCAAATAATCACTTAGATCATAATTTGTATGTCCATGCTCTTGTCAGAATTTGCCCAAACTGTACTGATCATGATCATGAGCTGACAGCAGAGGATTTTTCAAGTCTTACAGCTGCAGTCAGAGTAAAATCTATGTAACTGTGTATAAGAGGTCTTGTTGTGAAACAATAGTGACATGGGGAAGCCCCTGGATTCTCCATGTGTTCCAAAAAACTTCCCTTACCAGCCTGTTAAACCAACTTTTTTTGTTATTAATATTTAAAGCATCTTTATGTTATTTCACTTTATTCCCCATTTCAGTAATAAAATTGTTACTCTAAACGGTAACTGTTAACCTGCGTTACCCAAATGCAGGATTATTACCCATACAGCTGTCTAACACAGACAGTATCTGTGAGAAAAGGACGGAAAGTCGATTCCAAACCAGGCATGATTAATTCAAAACGTCGCTGAATTTGTTTTGGACTACATCATTACATGACACGGAATAATTAATTACAAACAATGCAAGCACCTGAGATAGGAAGGAATGTAAGTCTCTTCATTAACCACACGTGGTTTTTGTGTGACAAGATCGAAGTCAGATGAACCTCCTGTTTTACTTTTGGAAAATGTATGAACATCCTTGTACGCCTTTTTCCCAATTTTAAACCACTCGTCTGCTGCGTCGAGCGAAATCTCGCTTACAAGACGATTCATGGTTTCTTTAGTTACACACGGAATTCATCCCTACGAATCAAAACATTGCCATCGCCATTTTTCATTCATTCGGAAGTCATCGGAAGTTAACTTTTTCATCCTTTTATTTTTGGTACCTCTCTGGTATTTTCCATAGCTACAATGAGAAGTGAAAACGAAAGTACATTCAGTGGGAATAACCTAAGAACTACAGCAAATTATTTATGTCAAGCAATCGATTTGAGGGAGAGAGTACAGAACATATTAAAATTATATGGACTAGCCTACTTGACCCGAATAATCCCATTGATCTTGTTCGTAACAGTTATAGTTATATAATTAATCTGTTTTTAACACAACTATAATAAAAGAATATGTCATCTTTCACATCATTTCACAAATATTGATACATCAAATTTCTATCACATCGCCCTAACACGTCGTTTATGCCGGAGATAACTAGTCTACCTACAAGAGCCGCGCTCTTCAAAATGACAACAAAATTTAAAATATAGTTGTTAACATATTTAGTGCGATTTAAATAGTAATATTTCTCAACGGGTTGATCGCAGACTGTATCTATATATTGCTGACGGTATGCCCCCTCCCTTAACAGTGGCGGATCCAGTGACCTATC